TCTTTTTGGCCCCTCCTCCCTCAAGCCTGCATGTTCTAAATAAGTGCCTCCCTGTAGCCCTGCATCTACCGATAACGATGGTTTTCAAGCAAATGAAAACAATATCACTCTTGGTTATGTGACGTTATCATACAAACAGCTTAAGCGGTGGGGACCTTCACAATCTTTGCATCGGAGGTATAAAGGACGAGACGAGACGAGACGAGACGAGACGAGACGAGACGAGACGAGACGAGACGAGACGAGACGAGACGAGACGAGACGAGACGAGACGAGACGAGACGAGACGAGACGAACGAGACGAGACGAACGAGACGAGACGAGACGAGACGAGACGAGACGAGACGAGACGAACGAGACGAGACGAGGAGACGAGACAGACGAGACAGACGAGAGAGATAGAGAGATAGAGAGAGAGAGCGAGAGAGAGATAGAGAGAGAGAGAGAGAGAGAGAGAAGAAGAAGAGAGAGAGAGAGATAGAGAGAGAGAGAGAGAGATAGAGAGAGAGAGAGAGAGAGAGAGAGAGAGAGAGAGAGAGAGAGAGAGAGAGAGAGAGAGAGAGAGAGAGAGAGAGAGCATATGAGTTTATCAACAACAGAAGAACAGAAAATAGCCGAAAACAGGATAAAATTAAGTTTAGAAAAATACATTAATTTATCAGCATACAATTCCATAAACCATTCAATGCGGGCATTTTGTTCAGCCACTCAGAGCAGCCCGCTGGCGCATCTCGTCTTGCCCATACCTGTTGTTGTCGTTCGCTTCAATTTGGATAAAGTTCTCATGAATTCTCAAATCAATTTAAATTGTTTGCAATGACTCCTAAGCACCAGCGCATTTCAACCTTTCTCGATCTGGGCTCGACGTCGTCAGCGTCCGCTTAGGAACAGTGACTTCCGGTCGACTGTGCTTTTCTACCGCGACCGCCCGGCTCCAGCTGCGCAGCGCCGTCCAGTTCCAGCTCTGCAACCCGCCAGCGCCAGCACCGCGGCCGTTCAGTTCCACCGCCGCAGCACCGTTCAGCCCTAATTGTAATGCCAATCGGAGTCCGTCCCGGGACCGCTCCGCTCTCCGGCCGCGTCGCTGGCGCCCGCCGCTCGTCCATCGGAGTCCGTCCCGAGACCGCTCCGCTCTCCGGCCGCGTCGCTGGTGCCCTCCAGCCGTCCATCGGAGTCTGTCCCGGGACCGCTCCGCTCTCCGGCCGCGTCGCTGGCGCCCGCCACTCGTCCATCGGAGCCTGTCCCGGGGCCGCTCCGCTCTCCGGCCGCGTCGCTGGCGCCCGCCACTCGTCCATCGGAGTCTGTCCCGGGGCCGCTCCGCTCTCCGGCCGCGTCGCTGGCGCCCGCCACTCGTCCATCGGAGTCCGTCCCGGAACCGCTCCGCTCTCCGGCCGCGTCGCTGGCGCCCGCCACTCGTCCATCGGAGTCTGTCCCGGGCCCGCTCCGCTCTCCGGCCGCGTCGCTAGCGCCCGCCAGCCGTCCATCGTGCCCCCCCCCCCCCCCCCCCGACCGCCCCAGGTGTGACGGCGTCGTTTGCCGAGCGGCCCAGCGGCGGTAGCGGCGGCTCCCCCGTGCCTGCGCGAAAGGTCGCCGCCAGGGGCGCCAGCGTCGCGCCTCATATCACGCTGACGCGGCGCGGGCGATTATCGGCGTCCGGTAAGGGATGGCGGCCGCCTGACGCCGACAGCTCCGTCATCGGCCGCGATGAATCAGGCCAGAGGCGTCTCCGGCCGCACGAGCGCCCGGGGACGGGCACCCGCTGACCGCGAGAGCGCGGCTTATCCCAGCGACGGCGCTCAATACCCAGGAGACCGCTGGGTATCACGGGGCCGTGAACTGGCTCTCCATAAGGCTTCATTCACACAGGGCCGTGAATCGCTCTTTTCAATGATTCTCTAGGTCGCATTATCCACTATTTCTCATGAAGCCGCCGATCCACAGTATGACAGTTTGCACGCTACAAATGGCCAGGGAGTCCATTTTTCTTAAGAATTTTGTCCCAGCCTATTGATCGAGTATATTCCTGGGATCACCGCGCATGCTAAGCAAGATTTGATTTGGCCTGCTTGTTATCGGAGCCGTGGCTCCACCATCCGCTAGTAAGCTCCTGAACGAAAGCACATTTTTGCGGAGAATGCTTAACTTACCACAGTGCTCGGTACGACCCGTTCTGCCCTCTGACGTCAGCTGACGTTAAGCCTGGCTGTTGCCACCGGCCGCAGACCACGCCAGTCAGGGGCAAATAGCAAGCGCCTAAATCGCCGCCAAGCCACCCCGTCACGAGTGGCAGATTCAAAGGACAGGCGCTCAGGCCAACAGAGTGATACGGTCGGACAAACGGGTCTTGCCGAGCTGACTGCAGGATTAGACGGAGGCGGGTATCCATGGCCATGGCACAACAAAGTCTGAGACGGCAGGGGATCCGTCGTCCGTCCGGTCGACGTGTGGGACCCGCCATTCTATTGGCCGTGCTCGGGGAACCGATCACGACCTCCGGACTTGGGTCTCCCCGACATGAAGCACTCGGTGTCATCAAAGCATCGACAGGTTGAAGAATCCCCCAGGGAACATCACATGACAGGTGGCCGACACCAGCGATGGTAGCCGCAATCATCGTCCGTACCGGGGGGAAGGGGAGGGGGTCTGAATATCGGAACACCTTCAGCTGGACTCGGAGATGATGGATGTTGGCTGAGAGGAGCTTTTGATGCGCTGATGCAATCCATTCCTCTGAAGCGCCGGAGGCCAAGCCTTCGCCCCAAAAATGAAGCACATGTGTAGCATCTCGCCCAAATCTAGTTGGATTGAGCACGCTGGCGCATGCGTCGATTTAGTCGGAAAAACTACTCGTTTTGCGGTACGCGCCCAGAAATGCTGCATTAAGGCATAAAACGGGACTTGGTACCACCACTTTCACCACTATACCACACAACTGATCATCATTTGGAGCGCGGCGGCGTGCTAAGTATCAGGTCTCGAAGCGTCGAATGCGTCAGTGGGTTCTTCCTCTGCACGGCAGCGCTCCGCTCGGCCCGCACTGGTGAGAATAGCTCTTAAACTACAGCCGTAGTTCTCGCGACGAGCCGATGCAGATAAACCGGGACGCCAGCTGGCGCACTCGGCGTTCGCACCGCAGCCTCATGGACCCGACAAACTGCGCTGTAAGAGCGCCGTTGTGCGGCGTACCAGTAACTTCTCCCCGTCTCGTCATGGCCTGTTTCAAATGGGCTGAGCCCTGTTCAGACTATTTACAGCAGCCCGGGCCCACAGCAATTTGGGATGCAGTTTGCATTGACGTCGCGATAGTTCTCGATTCACCCACTTGAACTAACCCACGGCTTTGCCATGCTGTCACCTCTAGCCTGGCATCGACCACGTGCTTGCACCACCTGGAAGCGAACCATGCCGGGTCGTGCCTCCGCGGCGGCGGTCCCACATGACGCGCACACCGACGCCCCGCTCTGCACCAGACGCCTCGACCAGCGCGCCCCGCTCTGCACCAGACGCCTCGACCAGCGCGCCCAGCCCTGCACCAGACGCCTCGACCAGCGCGAACGTCCGAATGTCACTTACGACCACCCGCAGTCTGTCGTTGCCGCTGGGACTTTACGACGCAGTCAGCTGCTGAGGCTATGTCGCGTCGCTTGCCCCTCACCCTGGAAGGAAGGGCAGACATCGTGGAGAATTGAATCCCTTATACCTGGTTTCCTAGACGCGCAGAGAAATCACTGCGCTACCGAGACCCGACCTGCTACTACGATAACATGCATCACAGAAATTGTTCTTGGCATGGGTACCTCTCGATTGATGTCGATCAGGTTTTTGGTGACTGCCGCATAAGCAGCCTTGATGTCTTCGGCACAAAGCAGCAGCCTTCGGCTTTAACCAAGCTGGTATTTTGTTTGCATGCCGGGCTCCTCTTATCCACGGCAGCTGGTCTTTTTTACTGCATAGCGGGCCCTCGTCAACGGATTTTCCGACGTGACACGCTCTCTACAGCACGGAAAGTTGTGTGTCCGTGGAATCTTATTTTGTGTCGAGAGCTGGTTGCGATGTGTTCCGACAGCTCCTGAGTCTTGTTCAGACATCCGGCTGTGCCTGGCTGGCGCATCGAGAGCATGACGTGAACGTGTTCACCTGCTGAGTCTGGTATTAGCTAATGAGTTGATTGCAGTCCAGTGCTCTAAAAAGCTGCCACACGTGATTCGGTCAAAACTCGAAACGAAGTTTAAATTATGAAACCTCACACCTCGAAAACATGTTCATGCGACTTGTTACACATAGCGTAGATGGCATTCAAGGGGTGAGTTGCTTAACCGGGTTATTCGCTACTTAAAAAACATACATGCATCGCACAACCTGCTTGCATGGCAGTATAACAATTCACTGATGCCGAAAGACGTTTTCAGCGCGCTTTATACAGTGACAGCACACGGGCTCGGCGTGATGCTATCAGCACCTGCTGCCCCTTGTGAGAACACCAGCAACGATCCCCGGACGGCGTCCGTTCAGCATAATGATACTGCAATGCGAGCCAATAATGAATTATTGGGCCGGGAGCCTCCGCCTCATGGGGAGGAGGGGGAGGAGCCCTGCCGGCGCTCAGATGGCGCATTTCAACACCCCGGGGGGAGGGGGTTTGCAGCTGCCAACGGCCCATGGTGGGGCAGGATTTCACGCCAGTGGGAATATGGCGGGTCAACATTTTTTTTTTGTCGGACGTGTCAAAGTATGCCACTCAGAGAATTTAATAGTCTTGAATGTGGATGCATGGAAATCAGACAAGTGGTTTGTTGATGCCGCGGTGCTAAGGCTTACGCCGTTTACATTTGTGTTATCAATGCCCCAATGAGGCATCACAATCGGCTAGAAAGGCCGGTAGGAGATGAGATCGGGGCGGGAGAGGGGCTCAACGAGTGCCAGCTACTCGTAGCTCGCCGATAGCCTGGCAACATGGGAACCATAGTACCAACATCGACTCGCTTCTGAAACAAACAGCCTCTGGGAAGTGGGATCGTGTATAGTTCAAAATCACCGCACAAAACATATTACGTCCTGAACTAGCAGCAAACCAAAGCGCACACGATGAGACATGACTCTCTCCAAGCTGGGACTTGCGGCCGTGCACATAAGCCGCCGCTCGTTTTCTGATGTGGTCTGGTGACGCGAAGCCACCTGCCCGCCATCTGTCGGAAGCCTCCACGGTTGCAGTGCCGGATGTTGTTCTTCAGCGGCGCCTCCTGTCCCGTCGTGTCCTGCAACACAGATCGGACGGTGCAATGTGACACCAGCGGCACGGCCAGTCGCGTGGGTCGCACACTGCGATCATATAAAAACGCAAAATGACTACGATAGCGGGTGCTAACTCCTAGTCTAATCTCTAATTTACAAATTTCCCGTTTTATTCTCCCAGTATTTGGAACTGCAGAGCGCCATCATTCACTATCCAGACCGTTACTCATGTAATTATTGGTCATACCTTCACGAGAACTCAGACATCGTTTTCATGACACAGTATTTTGGACAGCTCATGCGCTATCGGTCGAAAAACTGCCACAATGATGTTAAGTTTAAAACTTCATATAGACATATAGACGGATAGGGCGACACATTCAAAACCGGGAGAGCCGAAGATGACTGTGTTAGGAAAATAAATCTGCTTAATTGCAGAACTGCTGGAAAAGACGCAAAAAGTTCTTTAACGACTTTTCGCCTAAACTGTTGGGGGAAAATAAGAAAAGAAACTGAACCATCACCCGTCAGCAAAAAAGGATGCACGAATCGCTAACCTCATTACGGCTGGCTTTACGCTCCCTGGCCGCTGTGTGCGGCTTGCACGTCAGACTGCACACAAAACAGCACACAGAGCAACCAAGGAAAGGAACGTTTACTTTCAACACCAGGGGCCAGACATTCCCGACTGAATGGTAAGGAACGGTGATGGAGATCCGCGGCGGGAACTGGGAGCTGTGGGCAATACCTGGATGATTCTCAAAGAATCTCAAAGATTTTGCCCGATTTTTTCTTTGGATGCATTTCTAAGAACCGCACCCACTCTAAGGAATTGGATGCGGTTTTAGTAACCGCGCCCGCGATGGGGCAGTGCTTTTTGTGTAATCCTGTCCTCACCATCCGATCATGAAAATCCGGATCGACGACAAAGTTTGTCGGCGAAATCTTAACATGCCTAAACGCTCCATACGGTTCGTCCAGCCCTCAAACGTCCCCTAACCTTTAGCACAATTGCTGCCACCGGCCGCAGCTCTGTCAAAAAACAAAACAAAAAACAACTAGTGAGCGCCTAAACTGCATTGCCTCCATCCCGCCCCGAGTTAGTGAATCCGAAGGCAGGCGCTCTAAGCAACAGGACTATCGGGTCGGACAAATCAAATGACATTAAGTTTGCAAATGCCAGATTGTTTGCAAGCGCAAAAGGCTTTGGAATTCCCACTTCCGCAGCTTCGCCTCCTCCGCCTCCAGCATTAAGTTTTTTATCCATGCTTGCAATTTAAATCTGGGATCACATCAGTGGCACAGCGTGAGCGATGCATTATAGGCACCTGGTGCTTGCAGTCTGCGGACTAAGAGCAGGATTCTGGGCTCGTAATGTAGCGGCACCAAGTACGAGCGTCGGGCGAAGACGTGTCACCCGGCTGGCAGTCCGCCAGAGAACACGCCGCGTCACGGACGGCCCCGTTGGGATACTGCACGAATGTGGAGGGCCTGCCAGGAAACGCGGCCGTAGAGACTTGGCCTTGTGCGATGAATAGTACAGGCCTTTTCCGTGTAGTGAGTTCAGCGCGCACGCAACCAGCTCCGCTTATCAAGTATTCAGAGGCCGAAACCAGTCATGCAAAGCACCAGACCATTTTCATATCTAGGAGTGCAACGACCCGGAGGCACTTTTTGTTCCAAGGAACCAACAAACCGCAGTGGGAGCAATAGGAAAACAAACACGATGCGTTTTGGTTAATGGTAAGGTACTAAGCTAACGGTAAGGTTCTATGAAGCTTAGAATTTCTTCCGCAAGTACCTCTGAAGGGCGTGGAAGATTCTCTGGGGGTATTAACGCTGCCTTCCGTCCACTTCCAGACTATAGTTCCGTCAAAAGACCCCACCGCACTTCTTCCAGTGACATGCGATCATTTCCTTCAAATCCCCGTTTCCAAGAAACCGTGAAGAGTGAGCTTTGACCCCCGGTTCCAGTTGCCGACGTAACAGGTGCTTTCGGTTCCAGCTACCCGCGTAACAGGCACTTTCAGCTGCTGATGTTCTTTGCATGTGAAGTCCCATGCAGATGCCACTTTACACGGGCAATCTCCTACATTGCTATTTTTGGGCTATGCACAACGTTTTTGTCGGTCCAAAAATACAGATCACAACTTTCACACCCAAGAAGTTATACCAGTGGGAATATTTTAAGACAGTAGCAGTAGCCTTATTCCTCGGAGAAAAACACGAGAATGGAGAAATAGATTGGCTGATATTTTGGCAACATGCCTTTGTCGAAACGTTTCAATCAAACATGGAAGCGGATTGAAGTAAACAGGCATCCCACATCGCGCATCAATCATACATGCGAGCGATTTCAATCGAGCAGGCATCGCACATCACGCGTCAGGTATCACTTACACATGTAAACGATTTTAAGCTAGTACATATCACACATAAAGGCACATGTCACGTTCGCATAATCGGTCATGATGAACCCTGTACGATACGATTTGGTCGTCTACTTTTTGTAAGGACAGATTCGCCTATTTGCCTGTCTGGGTGGTCCTGTGTTCTGTAGATAACTGAGCTCTAAAATGGACATAGGGTCCATACCCTCTTCGATTTCAGCCTGAGCGGTCACATTGCCAAAAAATGGTCACCGAAAGGGGTATTTCCTGTTTTGTTCTACCGTCTCGCAGGCGTTCATTAAGTCTGAAACGAGAGGGGCGCATGGGCTCCCCGACATAGAATATGTTCCTGCGGAGTTTTTCACACAGTTCGCACTTGACTTCGTAAACCACGTTTTTGTTTTGCGTGCAAACCCCTCGAAACCCTGACTTGCATGAATGACATCTGTTGCCAGCCGGCACTTAGGCTTTGAGACAGAAAATTTCGCCGCATACTTTTTTAGCTTATTGTCGTTCTTCCAAGCCATGCGTACGCGAAGTTTTGACTTTTTAACGATGTGTATGATTTTTCAAAGCAAATGCTCATCTATGTAACGCAGCGTTACGAATCCGTCGTCCGATAGGCGGTGTTCCCGCCTCCTACTAGCTATCCACCCATATGCTCTGGAATTGGTTTTACTTCTTCTCACATTTACCTGAAAGTCGCGGAAATATCCACTGCCCAACCGCAAAGTCCAAATTTTGTTTATGCTCTTTCTTTCCTTTTCACTACCTGATGAGTTGTTTAAGAGTCCTATGGAACATATAACGAATTATGTTGTGTTATACCGGAATTGGTGGGCTGGATAGAGCTCCCTTTCTAACATTGTGCGGTTGTCTCTTCTTTCCACCGCCACTAGTGTATCCAGAGCCCCTTTCCGTCCTTTGCATGTTCCATCGTAAAAGCTAAATTTGGATGCTGTTTCTTCATGAACTCTAAAAACCCCTCAAGGGCACGCTGTCCGTGTGTCCATACCGCAGCATAATCATTGATGCATCTAGCTAAGAAGGCTGGCTTTAATAAGCTGGCGGCCAAGGCCTTCGTTTCAAATTGGTCTGAAAATATCACCGCCAGAGGAGGAATACATAGGCTCCCTATTGCTATGCCCAATTTTTATCGGTAGAAGTCACCTCCGAATCAGAAAAAATTATCCTGAAGACACTGTTCTAAAAGACCGCAGATATCCTCTTTTGATAGACCGAAACTATCAATGTCATTGAAAAGTTTGTCTACCTTAGCTTTTACGGCAGCGATGGCCTCATTGACTGGTATATTGTCATGTGAATTGGCAACATCTACTCTGAAGAAAATGCTGCTCTCTGGTAACCCTTCTGGCTGCGAATGATTAGAAGCCTTTTTAAAAAGCCTCTGGTGTCCCGCAGATGAGTGGAAACAAACCTCAGGAGTTCGTTGAATATTCTCTCTAAAAGACACAATTTTTTTCTACAGAACCACCGCACGCAGATATGACAGGCGTAAGGGGCACTGCAGGTTTGTGATCCTTAGGCAGCCCATAGAATACAGGTGTTGTCCTGTGTCTAGATGTTAGATGTTTGATGATTTTGTCCGAAAGTTTTCCGCTAACCGTGTTCTTCTTTCTCTGTTAATGTTATGTTAATATTCTGTTTCCCTAATTTCTCTGTTTCTGTAAATTCTCTGTTAATGTGTTAATCTTAAGTGTTCTCTTGTTTTAGCCTTTACCTGAGGGACTGGGCTCCTATTCAGTTTTTCGTAACCGTCGCTGTCGTTAAATATAGCCTGGGCCTTGTTAACATAAGTTGGTGAAAAGGAAAGAAAGAGCATAAACAGGGTAGTGGAAAGGAAAGAAACCCAAGTGGCGAAAAGGAAAGAAAGAGCACAGACAAAATATGGACTTTGCTGTTGGGCAATGGATATTCCCGCAACTTTTAGGTAAATGTTGGAAGAAGTAAAAAAAAAAAAATTAGAGCGCATGGGTGGATGGCTGGTAGGAGTCGGGAACATGACCTATCGGACCACGGCTTTGTAACGCTACCTTACATAGATGAGCATGTGCTTTGGAAAATCAAACACATCGCCAAAAAACAACACTGCGCGTACGCATAGCTTCGGAGAACGACACTAAGCTAAAAAAGTCCCTTTTGAAATCTTCCATCTCAAAGCCTAAGTGCCCACCTGGCAATAGATGTCATTCATGCAAGTCAGGGTTTCAAGGGGTTTGCACGCAAAAAACGTGGTTTACGGAATCAAGTGTAAACCGTGCAGAAAACATGGGAGGGACATATTCTATGTCGGGGAGCCCATGCGCCCTATTCGTTTGATATATAATAAACGCCTGCGGGACGCTAAAAACAAAACAGGAAATACCCATTTCGCTGACCATTTTTTGGCCAAACACGCTCAGGCTGAAATCGAGGGAGGTTTGGATCCTATGGCCTTTTTAGAGCTCAAAGTCATCTACAGAGCACAGGACCACCCAGACAGGAATATAGGCGAATCTGTTCTTGCAAAAAGCAGACGACCGAATCTTAACGTACGGGGCTCATCATGGCCGACTATGCGAACGTGATATGTGCCTTCATGTGTGATGTGTGCTAGCTTAAAATCACTTACA